CAGGATGTAAAATTATCATTTTGAAACATCCATTTATCCTTAACAGAAAAAAAAAGACTGAACTCTGCTGCTTGCGAAGATTTATTTTCATTAGAAAAAGGTAAGCGCTTAAATTCTCTTCAAAGGTTTCAGAATAATAAATTTCAGGTTTTTAGACTATTTTAAATTTTTTTTGCATTGCATTGATAACAGAAATAAATATGCAATGAGAATAGAGTTAGAAGTTGTTCTGTGCATAAAAAAAAATTAAAAAAAAAAAAAAAAAAATCAATTCTTGTCTTAAAAAAACATGTTCTATAATTTCATACTTAAATATTTGACAGTATTGAAGACAAGATTCTAAGTATAGGCTGATTTATAATTTTCCTCACATCATTTTTTCCTATCGAAAATATGCCGAAAGGAATAGATTAAAAAACAAGTGTTAAATTTGTCATTAATTAGCATCTCAGTTCGAGGATGCATATTCTATCAAACTTACCAAAACTCTGCACTAGCTCAGGTAAATTACGCAAAAGGTTTGACCACCTGATGTAACTCTACAGTTAAACTCTCCATCGTTCGATTCGCTCCACATTTAAATTTTGCCGTTTTATCATATGTCATATCTTCGTCAAAAGATTTCTCAACATATTAATAGAAATAAATGCGTAAAATTTTAATTAGAGGATATATTTAAGGTTTTCTAAATTCAAATTTCAAAACTGCTACGAAACAAATATTTTCTGCAACTGAATGTATTTAAAAAAAACCATTGGAAAAAAGATAAAACGAATCTCTAACAGAACTGCGCGTAAAAGGAATAAATTTAGAAAAGTGGAAACAGAACAACGCAAAAACCGAAAGCTTTTGATGCGGAATCTACCAATGCATTCGCCAGGTATGAACCTCATAATGCGGAGTTTATACACATAATTGCAGAAGAGGAGGGAGAAGGGAATCCTTGGTACAGAATATAACTTCTCCGTGTTCTAAACTGAAATCATGATCTTTTTTTTGTATTATAGACGATTCTGTTCGAAGTCTTTTAGTGCTAATGTAAAATGTATTCGCTCTAAAATATCGTCTCTTGTAATGTAATGCTACATGTCCTCGGAGTTAAACAACCAAGTTGATGAAATCACTGAACAGTGGCTTCTTTATAAGTTCCACTGCATGACTAGCTGAGCTAGTTTCCATGTCGTTTATAGGATGAGTTTTTGATGCAGAATATTTATAAGTGGAACCAACGGATTAAGAAGAATTTATTTCTTGCTCATACGCCATAGACAGTGGCGTAGCTAGGGTGGGGCAAGGGGGGGCCATCGGTTCCCTGGGGCAGCATCCAAGCGGCGCCCAACTGATGCTACGAAATTTTTTTAATGAAATGTTTTCCATTCTTGGCACACAGAAAGGGGCGCAAATTCTTCAGTTTCCCCCGGGCGCTGGAATCCTAGCTATGCCACTGCTCATAGATTTAAAAATATCAATGCAGTACTTCAAAATATTAGTTCTTTGGGAAAAAAAAAAAAGAATTATGTGTTTCATATATATATAAACATATTTGAACAAAGTATTAAAAAAAACGATTTTAAGCGTGTTCGTCGAGACAGACAGACTTCTTATGCAAAAATTTCTAATGAGTATCTAGGATCAAAATAGTTTTTTCACAGCTTATTTTTAACGCAATAAAAATTCATGCGGATCATTCTATTAGTTTGTTACATAGCGATTTCTTCTTAATGTAAATTGCTTTGGTTGATTACCTCATATAATGCTAGATACCGGCTACAGTGTTAATAACAATACTACTTGTATTTCCTCTAAATCATGTGTGCTTAAAAAAAAAAAAAAAAAAAAAAAAAAAAAAAAAAAAAAAAAATTGTTGCAAAATTAACGAAATTCAAAGAGATATTTTGCTTTAACTATACAAAATATAAAGGGAGAAACAGTAAGAAAACTGGGGCACGCGCATTTAACTTTCCTTAAATGATATCTCGGTAATTTGTATGAAATTGAATAAATGTAATTGACCGCTACGTTAGCTGTAACCGCAATTCTTATTGCTTTCCAGAAATCTCGAAGCAGAAATTTACGGTTGTTTACATCGCGTTTGCCGAATGGTATGTGTTACCACATGTCCGTTCACCGGTATAGGTTGCCACATCCAATTGTTTATCGCCATGCTTGGCGATATTTTTTGGTGAAAAATCTGGGTGGACTATACTAAAGGACAACTTTTCTTATTAATTAGCAGTAAAAGTAAAATAATAAACAGAAATCAGCAGTTTACACAATATGATTTTTTTTTAAATCGACTTTAATTGCATCTCATATATAAACATTCAACCATGTTTCTATTTTCGCATATATTTGAATAACAAAATAAAAGTTTCTGACAAAGCAGCATAGACTTATTTATACCTTATTATACAGACGCCTTTAATTGCTTATTTAAATGCATAAATAAACGACTGATGCTAACTTGTACGAAATGAATATTTCAAATGCTGCATATATAAAAACATTAAAAAATATGGTGTGGCCAGCAGGATCTCCCACCAATTGTCTAAACATGGAACTGGTGGAATAGTAACAAACTTTAAGTAAACTATCACTTCTGGTTGATCATTTGTAAATAAAATCAAATTCGTTCATTTACTTTATGGCTAAAGTTATTTATAAACACTATTCATTTCTGATTATTCTATTCTTCCATAGAATGTGCAATGATAACTACTTATCAGTTCTCTGGCTTTGATTTAAAAATGTAGAACTGATGGTAGTATATCATTTGATCATATAGTGCTTCAGACTCACAAATCAATGACTTAATGACAAAATTTTTAAAAGCAGCATATTTTATGACAGACAGTTTAAATGTTCATTTCTTTTTATTTTCACTATATTATTTTTTTATACATACCTTTATAAATAATACACATACATACACATTTACGTACTTCACATACATTTATTAATAATACACAGTGATAACATTTGGTGGCAGCATCCTTTTATTTAATATTTTATTTATTGCAAATGATTCCACATAAAAATGAAAAACACAAAATTGAAGATTGAGGCTAATAATTCAATTGCTTCATTAGCCAGATCTTAACTACATAATGAGCTTATTCTCATTGCATTCAGCATAATTCCAAGATTACATTTCATGCTTATAAATTTAATATGTTATTCTCAAATCATATACCTGTTTTAGATTCCCAAATTTAAGAAGTTATGGATTATTTCATAATACATTTTTTTAACAAAAGCCTGTTCAAAGCTTCAAATAAAGTATCACTTCCAGTTTATCAAAATTTTAACCAAAATCTAATATGTTGTTCCCACTGATATAAAAGTCTTTAATATTAAAACTGAAGAGTTTTGGATTCTAATTTAATACAGTCTTTCTTTAAAAATTGTTATGGGCTTAAGTATCATTTCTGGTTGTCCAATTTTACCCAAAATCTAATGAGCTCTTTATATGAATGTAGAAAGTTTAAATACAAATAATGCAAATTTTTGTAAATTCCATTGTAAGAGTTATCATGGAGAAAAAAATCATCGCACACATAGACACAGACATTCTAAAAATAATATAAACACGAGGACTCTAATTCAAGCTTATTCACTTAAATCTCACTACTAAATTTCGGAACCAAAACCATTACCTGCCTTACCTATGTGTATAGGTTGGTGGGAGGTAATTAACAGAATTTATATTTTAAATTACATAGATATAAGTTTAATGCAACTCCTCTACATATTAGACATAATGTAAACTTTGAGATATAAAATTAAGTAATATCAACCTTAGATTGATACTGTCTTTATAGAAAAGTATTGTGTTTCAAATTTTTATACAACAAAATGCTGATCTAAGACTGATTTCATCTAATACAGTACAAAGTCCGTAATCCGGACTCGTCGAGACTTCGGATTAGGGGTTTTTCCCGATTATAGATCATCAATTTAAATCTGGTAAGATGGCATGCAGAAATTATATAATTAAAAATATGAAACCGTAATTTATGAAATAACGAGCAATTATGATCTAAAAAGTATCAAAATTTACAAAAAAAGCTTAATATTTATTTGTTTACTTTATTAAACATTTCTTTCAATGTATGTTGTTTCGCTAATACTTTCTATTTAATTCTATTCAGTTACGAAGTTCCACTGTTCAAGTCCTGTAATTGCTGTGTCGAGATACCGACTGACTTGCCAATCAAAATGTTTTCGTTTTCAATAACCTCTCTGTCACTTTCTTCACCATCGGAAGCGGTACATCGAAACATGCTTTCGCTTTGTAGATCCTTTGGCAGCTCCAGAATTGGAAACTCTTTTTGACAGAATCGAAAGTTCAAGCTTAATTTTTATAAAATTGCTCTAACAGTATGCAAAAAATAATAAGCCGGATCCAATTAAAAGATTAAGGAACAACGCAATCTGCAACATTAACTGAAATGCCTTAGAATCACTAAAGATAATTTTAGCCTAGCTTATACCGTCCGTTATACATTAAGCGCGAATGCGTAAACGCACTACGCGCATGCGTAAAGCATACAAAAAAAAAGTTTGTGGCTTTGAGGTCCGGATTATAGACCATTCCGGATAATGGACGTCCAGATTACGGACTTTGTACTGTATTACATTTAATAATGGTAACCATCTCTCTCGTGCAACATTGAGCTATACATTAAGTAAGAGTGCTTGCATTTTGTAATGCATCAATTGTTCAGAAATTTCGGCACGAAGCAATATCCACATTTATTATAAGTCATTATTAAATCATAGAACAAAAACTAAAGTAGACATTTTTTTTAAAAATAAAGTAGACATATATATATATATATATATTTAGCTTATTCTTCAGAAAATCCCACTTTTTTTATTGTTAACATAAATGATTCTGTGTATAAACTATTAAACTGATGAAAAACTTCTAATTTAAACCAGCAAAATGTAAGCTAATTAAATTAATAATCAGTTTACAAGCCTCATAAACCAAAACATATTTATGTTAAACCATTTTAATCAAAACATGATTTTACAAGTAAACAGCAATTACAGGGGGGAGAAATTAAAATGACATATCTTTGTCTAATTTATCATCACTTTTATCGCTTGCAAATGATAAATTGTCTTTGCTGCTGTCTTTCATAACAGAATCTTCATGCTCTGGTTCACCCTCTTCCTCCTCTTCTTCTTCAACATCCATTTCAAAAAGACGAACTTGCCTTTTTGAAGCAAAAAGAACACAAACTACTTTACGTGAACCACTGACAGCAATTTTTGAAGCTTTGATGTATTCTAGCCTCTTGTAGTTATTTTTTTCCATATAAGGCCCAGCCTCTAACATTGCTATTTTTTGCCCTAGATGTTCTCCTTCACCTAATGAAATAGTTTTCATTTCTGTACAAAGAGGTTTTAAAGGTAACTGCAATAAAACTGGACATCTTATATCAGTTTCAAAATCCTCAAGCAGTAGCACAGTAATAGTGTCTTTATTATAGAACTTAACATCTAAAACTTTGTAACAATTCAATTTGTCAGGAGATTCAGAAGAAGAAGGACCATTCTGTAAATTTTTAAAAGTTAAGCCAATTCCTTCAAACTCACCTTCTTTGGCCGTTGCTTCTCTAATTAAATAGAAGCAATTACTAGGTGGCGATTTCTCAGTAACAGCAGTATATAAATATCCACTCTCAAAGCAAGAAATGTGGGATATTTGAAGTTGTGAACTTGCATTTCCAGTTTTGTACAGAAGATAAGAAGCTCTAGTATGTACAGTATTTTTCAAAACCGTCCATGGTCCTTTTACAGCAACATCAATCACTTTTCTTAAATCTGTATACTGTGTAATAAGAGACTTTTCAGAATAATAAGGAAAAACAATCCCACTTTCCTTCCATATTGGATGTTCTTCAAGAAATTTAACCCATGGGTTACCATTTGTAGAGGCAGGGAAAGCCAAGTCTTCTTTCTTCAGATATTGAGCTACACGTTCAAGTTTCACAGTTGTTTTTTTATCTCTACAAGGTGTAGAAGTGAAATTTTCTTTTAAGAATTCAGCAACAAAATGCAAATCTTGTTGCGTCAATTTGCTTATTTCAAGAGGAATGGGCTCATCAGACAAGCGGAGGATAACTGAATAAAGCCATCTGAAGAATGCTTTGAAATTTTTCATGCTGCTGTCAATAACTTGTTGAATCTCAGTAGCCTTAAGAAGAAAAGATCCTACAGATAAAACAGCATCATTAACAGCAGACTCTGAAAGACCAAGGGCTCCAAATCGCTCATGCCACATAGCCATACCTTTGAGATCATTTAAGTGATAAAACAATGAAGATGCAACATTCTGAAGACGCTTTAAGATAAGTTTTTGAATATTTGAATAGGAGAGTTCAATAGAATGACCAAATTTTTTTAAACCACTTTCTGTTAAATCATGTAACAAAAACTTTTCAAGAGAATCAGTCGGATTTCCAAACATAAGCAATTCTAAGAAATCATCGCTAATTGATCCTTCAGATAAGCGGCTTTTCTCATATGCATAGTTATGGAGCTTTGTGTCCACTTCTAATAAGATGTCTTCCCAAGCCTCTGTTATAGCACGAATTGTGGAAGACAAATAAGTAAGAAGAGAAGATATTTGTCCATACTTCAAAGCAACAACTTTTATTTCTTCAGTATTATCACATAAAAGAGAAACACTGTAAGACTTGAAATAATATGAATAATTCTGATCATTATCTTTAGATTCTACTATTACGGTTAATACACGGAAATCTTTTGACAGAGTTACCGAAAGAACTTTATCCTGATTCGCACCATTTTCATTTTGAGCATTTACATCCAAATAACCAGAAGGAAACATGCCAAAAGAATGGAGATGGACCATTCCAACATCCATGCCTATTGCTAAAATATTAAGGCTCTTTTGACCCTTTAATCGCTTAAAATCATCAGCAACTTCTTCTACTTGTTTAGTTCCTGCTCCATAGGTTTTGTGGAATGTAAAAAGTTTTTGTAAGTATTCTGCAGAACGATCGCTATAAAACGCCATTTGTTCAGCGTCATCTTTTTCATTAGTCTGAACCCAACTAAGAGAAGTAACTATACAATGAACATCAAGTAGATGGACGGCTTCAGAATTCTCAACATCACACAAAGTTACTTTCCCTGAAAGTAGACAAATAAATATGGTAAGTTTTTAGCAAATGAAGTTCTAATACTTTATCAAACTATTAAAAATGTATATCTTGGAAAATTTTCAATAAAAAAACTATAATATTTTGCAGGTGTGCCTAGAAATATATCTACTTTAAGATGATGTTAAAAATTTGATAGGTTATAATACAAAATTTTCTCGAAAAAATTATAAAAAACATTTAAAAATACAAATTTTAAAAATAAATCATAAAAAAATGTGCGAATTATATTTGGATGAAGCCTAAATTTCGAATTCTGGAAGAAGGAATTAAATAAGTTTAATAAAAAAAAGATATTAATAAATATATATCAAATTCAATTAACACTGAGGAGCTAAAATTTTGAAAGCTAATTTTTTAAAAACTACTAGTGCGATTTTTACAAAACTTAACAGTTTGGCAAAATTTGAGTCGTAGAATCGAAATATGGAAAAAAAAATTGGCTTGTCATTTCAGAAAAAGTCCGATTTTTGTGTCAAAATACCTATATTAGAACAACGCTACATATAATCTAATACATATCCTAGGTCGCTCTTTCGAGACGTGAAAAGCGCAAGTTGAATTTCGTCAATCGGCCCAATAGAACGGGAGATATAGAGCTTTTATTTATTTATTTATTTATTTTTTTCCTTTCTTGTTCACCGTGTATATGCAAAATCAAATGCTAGTATAAAGTTTGACTTTATGAATTAACAGGACATTCAGCATGAAGTGTAAAAAAATTGCCAGAAATCAGAAGACAGCAGATTTTACAAATACTAATGGATTATCAATATATTTCAACATGCACACGTAATCAAACTAACAGGTACAAATAAAGTTAAAAGACAAAATCAAGTCATTACTTCATATTATTCATATGCTGATGCCCAAAGTTAATCAAGATTCTACACTTATCTTTGAACACAGACTAACACAGAAAATTTAGGGTAATTTATTGATATTTATATTACTAAAAAAAAGCCGATGTGTACACCACATGAGTTCCTTGTACGGAATATTAAATTATAGGCCTTTTTTCCTGCATTTCAATTAAACTTATTTCACTACAGATAGATTTCTCGCTTCCCGAGAAGGCAAAAATATGTAAATACTCGAAATATTTCCATTAAAAATTGAAAGATATAAAAAACATAAAACACCAAATACAGCTAAAACAATTTTGACAGTTAAAATTACAGTTTCTACGCAAAAACAAGCAATTCGGCCAGCAAGCCAGAAGGCAGATTGTTTGGTGCACAAAACTAAAAGTTTCCTTTTGGTCCCACTCGGGGAAAAAACATTAAAGGTGCAAAAAGTATTAATTCATTATTCTGCTAAGTTTCGAATATAAACAAATATGGCTGCTATAGTAAAAAAAAAATTAGGCTTAGCCGCACTTAACTTTTAAATTGTTGATAGCTCTACAACTGTTGCATGCGGATAAATCAAAGGCATAAAAACCTTAACTGGAAGATAAGAACAACATAATCCAATCATTTTTAAAGCAAAAAATGCACAATTTACCAACATACAAGAATAAAAAAACTGAGCTCATTGAGGCGAGTAACAGAGTTGATATATATATTTATATACTGTTGGTGCAGTTGATCGCAACCAAAAAGGGAGGTGCACAACTAGATGTTGTAGTTTTACAATTCGTTTGAGGATAAACAATTCTTTAGTCTGTCCTTACATACAGACATTATGAAAAAACATCGTTAAATTGCATTTGATAGCTGTCAAAAGGGATGTTATCGTTGAAATATGGTATCCGGAATTTTTCATGATTACAATACTTCCTTTACTTCGTACAAGAAAGTAAAAAGGTTTTTAATAATATTTAAATAAAATATGGATAGATTGCTACAGAATTTCATAATAGATTCAAATTATTATTTATTCAACGATTTTAGAAATTACATTATAAATTAGAATACATACATATTAGAATTATTTTAAATAAACACCAGTCTTAATATTAATATTTAGCTGTCAATAAGCTTGAATTACAAAATGTAATCAACAAAAATATCTAGCAGATATCAAACTTCAGATTTCAAAAAGAAAATGTCTAAATTTTAATTTTTTGCTTTGTGTTGTTATTATTATTGTTTAAGCATGCTTTGATAAATATTTAGTAAATGAAATTTGAAATAAATTTAATTACAGTATTTGTTATTTTGTTGATAAAAAAATTTCATTTCACTTTAAAAAAATGTTTTTTGACCCATCAGCTGTTTTCAGATTGTGCATTCAGCCCATGATGAATTTGAGTTTGACAACTGCAAATAGTATGAATCAAAATATTTTCTTTACTACAGATTTAATTTCCACATAAATGCCTTTCCACAGAGACTTATAATAATTACTGAAAGTTAAACCATCCATGAAAACTCTTACAGATCTATAAAAACTAATGCAGTTGTAAGCTGTGTATGATTTTAATTTCCTTATTCAGTTTAACATTTACACAATATGTGTCAATTCAGATCCTTATGTAAATTTTCAAATGGAATTTCACCATTTACCTAAATTTAAATTTCACTAATTATGTTAAATTATATGTTGAATAGATACTTACACAATAGTGCAACCACATAAATACAAATTGTTAAATTTTCATAATGCACCAAATTCTAGAAATCATGCCATAATAATTCTTCAGGCAATCATACGCACAGTAATTTATCAGTTTTAGCAAGCACCATTGTCATTTTTGTATGCATTCTTTTTGTTGAATTTGTATGGATTTTGTATAGAAAAATAATTACATATTTTGCCTTAATTTTTAAAATACACACTTGTGGAACTTGCAGAAGAAATTTCTAGTATAATTTCTGCTGTCTGAAAGGGGAAATGTTTGTAATGGTTTACTAATTTATATTCGGGATAAATTGCATAATATTAATGTAATATGTTTTTCAATTATAACTCATCCTGTTTTTCTTGAATAAAAACCATTAAATAGAGCCAATATGGTTGCATTAACATATAACCATCATTGAATATTAAAATTATGTATATAATTTATAATGTTGATTTAATTACATATTCTGTTTAAATTTAAGTGTGGTCAGTATGGTTTAATGTGTATCATCCAAACTAAGAGAGCATTAAAATTTCATGTCAAGGAATACAAATCTTCATTTCATATTTTGTTAAGGTGATTTAATATATATCAGCCAAATTAAAAGAGCATTAAAATTTTGCAAGGAACATGAATCTTCGGTATGACATGGACAAATCAACAAATCTTCTATAGCTAGTCATAGTTGGATATTTAATCACAATTTTGACCTAGTTCTGGAAAAATTATGCATAAAGCTTCTTCTGTTATTGAACTGGATTTCCTTGACAATCCCACATTCATAAAAATCTGCCTTCTTTTAGTCAGTGTTATTGATTCCAAACTACTTCTTAACACTTTCAGAATCCTGATACCTTAGTTTTCATTACAACTTTTATTACACTTTCACTATGCTTCATCCACAACTTTCGATATAAAATGATTGCACTCCAGAGATTTTTGCAAAAATTATTATACTCTTGAAGAACAGGGGCTGCATCTGATCACCAAAATCTATAAGATTTTTATTTAACATCTATGTGAAACTAAGGTTGTTGTTTTCTTCCTAATTTTAAGTTTTACACTGGAATATTTGTCTTCCAAATAGCTAATTCCTTAGAAGTTGTATTTTTGTGATAAGTTTTTTAGGGAAACTCTTTTATTTATGTCACATTAAGGAAAAGAAAAAAAAAAAAAAATATTCAAAATAAAATTCAAGCAGTCCATCCATTCTGTTTGTTACAAAGAAATTAACAATTTTTAATAATTCAACTAACAGAATGTGAATTTCACAAATAATGTGCTGGTATATGTGAGAAGAAATTTAGTATAACATTAATGCTTTTAATTAAATATTTTTCCAAAGCCAAACACTTTACATCTGTCTTTTGCAGAAACAACTGTTATTTTAAATTACTTTTTCTGGAATACGTAACTTGTCATGTAATTCTTTTATTAAATGGGATTATTAAACAACTATATAAAAAGTACATCAAATAAACATGACACATTTTTCACTTATTTTCATAAATGCTTACAAATACACTCATTGTCATAATCTTATATACAAGGTGTATCAGTACAGCAGTGACAAACTTTCAGGAGCAAGAGAGTACATGTAGACGTTGGGAAATCACATAGGAATGCATGGTCAGAAATGCTTTCCTGACAAAGTAGTGACAAGACAAAAGTCAAGAAAGAAAGGACACGAACGGTGTGAGAAAACATGTTTATTATTTGGGGTACAACAAAAACAAAGAAAAAGTAACATAAAGAGACAAAAATCATCATCAAAGAAGGTGGTCGAAATTATGACCCAGACCAGGATGCAGGAACTGTGCGTCATGCATCTTCCAATTGTGATGCAGATCTTCCATAGGCCAGAGAAGGTGAGGGTCCATCATGGTCTGGGGTTGTAAGTTCGAACACCTTCATTAATGACGATCATTATTTGTTTTTGTTCTTATTTGTAGGTTTTTGTAGTAATAAACATAATAAAGCATGTTTTGTCTCACTGTTTGTGTCCTTAATGTTTTGCATTTTGTGTCGTCACTACCATGCCAGAAAAGCGTTTCCGACCATGCATTCCTATGTGATTTCCTATTGTCTAGGTGTGCTCTATCTCTCCTGAAAGTTTGTCACAGCTGTACTGATACACCTTGTATAGTACAAAGTCCAAAATCTGAACGTCCAGTATGATGACTATCTAATATCTGCACTTCGAGACCACCAGCCAAATACATAAATAAAATGAAATAAAAAATCCCCCCTAGAAATTTCTAAGAAAAAAGAATATTAGTAAAAAGAAAGATTCTTTATGAAGAATCTGTGTTGTAAATGTAATTTTTCTGTGGACTGAGATTTTTGCATATCACTTATATACATTTTTATCATAAGACATATATCTTGGCCAAAATTATAAA